CCACCTCAAAAAACAGGTTTAAAAAGCAGCTGCTAAAATCCAGTAATTTCTAGTTAGTCTAATTGTTCATTTTTTTTTCTCTTCTAACAACATCCTTCAAAAGCTGTGGGAGATGGTGAGTTTGTGTGTACTGAACTGAGAGATATGTTGCCTCCATTGTCTCCACATTTTCTTTTTTTTTTTTTTTTTTTTTTTTTTTTTTTTTTTTTTTTTTTTTTTCAGAGTCTTGCTCTGTCACCCAGTCTGGAGTACAGTGGCACGATCTCCACTCTCTGCAAACTCTTCCTCCCAGGTTCAAGCAATTCTCCTGCCTCGGCCTCCCAAGTAGCTGGGACTACAGGCACGCACTACTACCCCCAGCTAATTTTTGTATTTTTAGTAGAGACAGGTTTCACCATGTTGGCCAGGATGTCCCCAATCTTTTGACCTCATGATCTGCCTGCTGTGGCCTCTCTAACTGCTGGGATTACAGGTGTGAACCACCACACCTGGCCTGTCTCCATCTTTTCTAATTCCCAACTCCCATCAATCTAGTCTTATATCTAGAAGTGATAAATTAAGTCAATATAAATTTGCCAAAAGTAAAGCAGAAGGTATTTGTTTTCTATACTCTTCTTGGCTTCCTCCTAATCATCAGCCTCATTAGTCCTTACAGCTCCTTTTCCATCTCCCTAATCACCAAAAGCCCAGAAATTAAACAGTAAACAATTCCCCAAAAGGTGCCTTCCTGGTACTGTCTAAAACAAATGCAATCTTCTGTGTGGGCATTTAAAACACCACAAGCATTCTTACTTAGATTAAATCATGGGTCTCCCTGGTCTCCAGGCATGCCTAGACATGAACCATGAAGGGAATGAGATCCTTGGAGTTTCTCTAGTAACTGCAGGCCAAATCAACAGCAACCCTAAGAACAAGCATTCTCTTTTTTTTTTTTTTCAACCGAACTAGGCCACACACATTTTTTGTCGTTATTTAGATTTTTTAGTTGTAGTACATAGAAAATAAAACTCCTTTTAAAAAATTATTTCAGTAGGCAATGCATCTTGATGACTTTTATATATGAGTTTTATTTTTTTATTACTTTTAACGAAAAGTCTGTAGAAACTTACTTTTCAAAGCATCTAATGCAACCATTGCCTTGGATGGCAGCAATCCAGCTCAGGTAAGATATTTAAGATGCAACTAATAATCATAAAACATCAATTGGGAAGAAGTATTCAATATAGTATCGGGTAAAAGGGACTAACAATTTGGTAGAACAGGATCATTTTTATAACTATCTCCTAACCAAGATTTCTAAGTCTGCATATTGTTATTGGAATGTAGACTATTTTGCTCCTACTTTTATATATGTATATTTAAGTGAATGTGAGTCATTTATGTAATGTGTGCTAAAATATTGTGCCCCTCCCAAAAATAAGATGAGTACAAAATACAGTTATTGTAGATGGCTTGTCTTTCACAATTTAGTTCTACAAGTTAATTTTAACAATTAACATTTTCTGTGCTATACATTTTATATTTTGGTTTCTTTCTCTTCACTTTGGTTGTGTACAGAACAAAGTATGCATTTGAGGGGAAAAGTGCTGTCTTTCATATGCAAAGAAAATGATATAACTTATTTAAACATCCTTGGGCAGTTCTTTAATAGTGTGAGTTTGGAGTTTGTATTGAATGAGCCAGATGACCTGCCCATGTTCATGTTACTAGTGGCATCTGTGAGTCCATGTGCTGGTTTTAGGGAATCAATTTATACCTGGGAAGTTTTCTTTTGTGGAAACTAATTTAGAACTAAGCCTTTGGTGTCAGCAGTGAGTGCTCTGTATTGGATACATGAGGACCATATTTCTAGGGGAGGCTGCTTCCAGCTGAATTTCAAGGTGAGGATAAAGAGAACATTCCTTATCCTCTCCTGATTCATTCAAGGCAAAGAGGAAAGGAGTAATTAAAGGAAAATTATTAGCAGAGATCTCCCAGAAGTCCTCTGTAACTGTCCCTTTTGCCAAACTGCCACAAAACATTGTCTGGCATTGACAGCCCTAACCCTGAATATCCAAATGTATTCTTGCATCATGGATCTACTCAAGTCTCACCTCCCCTGGGAACCTTCTTTGACCTATTACAGCTCTCATTGAGGGCCTCCCTTCTATTTCTATCAGTATCTAGTTTAGTAATTTATAATATATATGCTGTCTTGAATGGTACAGTCTTGATCTCAAGAGGACCACGATTTGATGTAACTAACAAGCTGCCTGGCTCACTTCGCATCACTGCATGGCCCTCTGAGAGTATAAGGCCAAGGCCCCAACACAGCACAAGGCTGCAGATAAGACTTTCAAAGGTATCCTCCCACATGTCAGAGGCTACCCAAGCTCGCCTCCATTTGGAAAATTCAACCTATAATTTAAGGTACCTGGGAAGCCGCTTTCCCAGGGCAGAATGGGCACGGAAACTGGGTGGGCTAATGGGCTTCTTGGGGAATAAGGGAGTGGAGAAGGAGCTCTTTGCCCCTCCTGCTAGATCAGAAAGAGAAACGTCTCAAGAATCTGGGCCTCCATCTTCCAGGCGTCTTCCTGGAGGCCGTTCAGGGACCGCCCACAGCCCCTTCTCGCAGCCTCCTCCCCTCCCCCACCCCTCCCCCCGCCCCGTCTCGCGCCCGCCCCGCCCTCGGACCGCGGGGTTCCAAGGGCGGTTGGCCGCCCCCGCCACGGTCACTCGGCCGCTCGGAGCTGCAGGGCGCACGGGGTCTAGAGAGCCGGCTCTAGGGGTTCGGGCTGGGAGCTGAAGCGGGGCGTGCGGGAAGTGGAAGCCGGGGTGGAGGAGGCGAAGGGGAAAGGAAAAGCGAGGGGAACCTGAGCGGGAGGGCCCAGAGAGGTGCGGGAGGCTGCGGGAAGAGTAGACCCGGCACTCCCGGGAGGCACCGGCGTCGGGGCGCGGCGCTGGAGGGCTCGGGTCTTCCCCCGCAGCGCCGCCCGCTGGCCTGGCCACGCGTGCTTGAGCGGCGAGGCCAGCGGGGGTCCCGATGGGCCCGGGAGGCGTCCTCGGGGACCTCTCTCCCTGGGCATCGCGCCCAGCCACTGACGGGCGTCGCCCCGGGTGAAATGGGGTCCGAGGAGGGCCCCGACCCTGCGACCCCGCGTCGGCGCTGCGGACCGTCCGGGAGCTGCAGCCGCGGGCGTCCGGTGCTCGGTTTGTAGGCAGTGTCATTAGCTGATTGTACTGTGGTGGTTAACAATCACTAACTCCACTGCCATCAAAACAAGGCACAGCATCACCGCGGCCAGGCCGGGAGGAGGACGCCGGCTCTGACCGCCCGCAGCCTTCGAGAGAAGTTGCCTGAGAAGCGAGGCGTCGGCGTGGGTCCTGCGCAGGCCTGCTCCGCGAGCGCGCGCTCCAAGTGCGAGGAAACCCGCGGTTTCTCCAGATACAGTTAAACTGTTAGCTCTCTCTAGGAGTCACAGAAGATGGAACAGTCTCATGCCAGGCCAGGAAAGTGAAATCCCTGGAGGGAGAAGCCCCTCCACCCATGTAACGGTTAATACTGTATGCTATGATTCACTGTGTCTATTTGCCATTATCTAGTATTTACCAAGCCAGCAACTCAGTGGAGCTCCAACTCAACCAATGAATTGCCTGTTACAACGTGTGGGGGTACCAACTTGAGACTGCAATTTTTTTCTATGAGTCTAGTTACTAGGCAGTGTAGTTAGCTGATTGCTAATAGTACCAATCACTAACCACACGGCCAGGTAAAAAGATTTGGGAATTCATCCAAATGAGCTGCCTGTACATCATCAATGTGCTTGGGGAAGAAGGGTGTTGGAGAATGTTGATTTCATCCATTATCAATTGCTCAGCCAAGAGAAAAAAAATCAACATTTTAGCTACTAAGTATACGATGTATGTAATGTGTATGTATGTGGGTTGTTTCTGTTTTTGTTTTTTGTCAATATTCCTTCAGGCTCTTAACCAAAATTTTAGACATAATGGGGAATAGGATTTTTTTCTTAGCTGATTGATGTAATTATATGAACATATGATTATTAACTGAGACTATATTGTTATATTTTTGAGACTATTTTGAAAGAATAAAATGCCATAAAGACATAAACTGTGGTTATCACCATGTGTCCGTTTCCTTTGCTAAACTGGCTTTATGTTGTCCATCTCAGTTTCTGCCACAGTAATTTTAACTTATCAGTGAAGTGGTTAGGTTGTTATGCCTTAACAAAAAATTTCCCGGGAAAGCTATTCACACACACACACTTGTTAATACTTTTATAAGAATACATTAACAAAATTTTTCATACTTCTTTTTTCCGTGAAGCGACTCTGTTCACTCATTAAGATATATCCCTTCTTTAATCATTTACAACTGCTGCAGTCTAGGCAACTTCTAATGGGAGTGATTAGTAAATGCAGTTACACTTTTAAAAATCTAGCCAAGATGTGTTTCCTAAGATTTGTCTTACAGGTTTCAGAATTTTTAAATCACAGAAACTAATACGCATGGGCATGTATCTACCCAGTTCAAGACTCTAGCTCCCAAGGGCTAGGCTTTCAACCCCTCATGAATTCTCCAAGCGACGTTCTCAGAACTTCTACCTAGCAGGTGCTGTGCCTGGCAATCTGGTTTGGAAAGGGACATTGGGGTGACGGGGCTGAGGAATCTAAAGTTTATTTAGCTATCTTTGGGGGAAGGGGAGAGGACGTGGCGTGCCGACTGAGGTTATAAGAAGTTAAAGTACTCCCCCACTGACTCCGACAAGACAGGACACATCCCAAAGTTGTTTTGACTCTCCCATGCCATCTCCAAGGTTTGGACTGGTCCCGAAACCTGATCACCGCAGGGGTGGGCTTTCTGACGGCCCCAACGAGCGTGGCGGACACCAACACCTATCTATAGGAAATCGAGGGCTGCGGGCAGTGGCCTGTATCAACTTGGCGGTTCTCAGAGGGGCGGGGCGGGGGCCAGGCGGGGGGAGGTGCGAGGGCGCTTGGAGAAGCGTCCTCAGTTGCCATGGAAACGGGACCCAGTGAAGAATCTAGCGGCCAAAAGGAGTCCCAGGAAATTTGCTCCCCGGGATTACTGGTATTTGCCGGCTCCTCAGAACAAGATGCCAACTTGGCTAAGCAGTTCTGGATCTCGGCGTCAATGTATCCCCCTAGCGAATCTCAGCTGATGCTGCGCAGAGACAGTAGTCAGCGTCTGCCGGTGGCCCGGCCCCCGAGGAGCAGAGGGTCTGGTGAGTAGAGTAGCGGCCTCCTGTCTTACCTGCCTCCACCTTAACCCGCCTGCAGGATACCAGAGCCCCTTTCAGGAGAAACTGCAATGGTATGTACAAATAGTCATAGGTACATACAAATACATTTATAAATAGTTCCTAAACCTTTCCAGCAATCCTTCCAAACGAAAAGGATCAGTGGTATATTTGTTACACCTAAAAACACGTAAGTTTCCCTTAAATTATGGTATCTATTTGTAAACAGTATAGAATAATCTGAGGAAATGGTATTTATTGGCTGAAAGGATAGTTTACACAACTGAATTCAAACAGGAAAAGCCCTGGAGAAAGATGAAGGTGGAGTCAACATTATCAACAAACTTTCTGGACCTGTAAGCCCTTAGTGAGGTCTAGGATGTGGAAACTGTTATGCAATCGTTACAGGTATAAAAAATTCAAAAACCTTTAATGTTGTGGTCTTTTCCAATGATGTCTTTACTTTCTTTTTGTATTTTTTAGAGAAAGGTCACTCCTCACAATCTTTTCACCTTGCTAATGACAGTAAGTATCAAGTTTTATGCCTTTCAACATTCTGACTCCTTGGTTCATCAGAAGATAGAAAATACATACAAGGGTACTACTTTACGCTGTGGCATAACTTTCTGAATTGCACACCTAAGTCCCTGCTCAGGGACCACTCTGTTTATCCAGACAACAATGCCTAAATTCCTTTAACAGTATGAACAGGAATGTAGAAATTGGAATCTCTGATCCTGCAGATATGTTCTCGAGATGTTTTCTTGTCTTTGGACTTGAGCTTACTCATCATCTAAAGGGTTAGAGGTCCCTGCAGCCATAGCTAATTAATTCAGTCTCCAACTATTTGCAAATCTCGTTTACAAAGTTTCAAGACACCACATGTATTTTTGTTTGCCTTCCTACTCTATGTATTCCCTTTCAACCCATATCCAATTTTATGTCAATTTTAATGTAAATTCATGATTAAATCATTTCAGATTGAATTTATTTTATTCTCTCTAGAAAATAGAGACATCTTTGCTGAAGCCCTAAAGATTCAGGAATCTGAGGAGAAAGTAAAGTATCTCCAAAAGGTACGCCAATATTTCAGAAGGTCATCTGATTGTCATTGTTTCTAAATAATCTTGATTTTTTAAACACATGTATGTAAAAAAATCTGCTACTTCTAGTGCATTAGCTTGAGCAAATTAAGGAAAACCTTTATTAGAATTTTAATTGAAAATTAAGAAATTCTGTTCAACTTTGGCTAGCGTCAATCTCAGCAAAAGTCCAGGAATATACAGGAACAACAGAACCAGAGAGAAATAGAAATAGGTAGTCACACACTTTCCATCCAGTAAGGTGCCCAACCTTATACAGCATTCTAAGAACAGAAATGGCATAAGAGGTTGGTGCAGTGGCTCACACCTACAATTCCAGTGTTTTGGGAGGCCAAGGCAGGAGGATCCCTTTGAGGCCAGGAATTCAAGACAAGCCTGGTCTACATAGTAAGACCTCTATCTCTACAAAAAAAATTTTTTTAATTTGCCAGCCCTGTTGGTACATACCTGTAGTCCAAGCTACTTGGGAGACTGAGGAAGAAGGATCCTTTGAGTCCAGAAATTTGAAGCTGCAATGAGCTATGATCTCACCACTGCACTCTAGCCTGGGCAGCAGAGTGAAACACTTTTAAAAAAAAAATCAAAAAAACAGGAAAAATCAAGTAGAATCGATGGTCTTAATAGGTCAAAATTAAATGATCAGAAGAATGAGTCTGTCATCTAGACCTGTTTTGACTAAAGGCTGAAATTAAACACATTGGTGTGTCAAATCAGCGGAGCACACATCTCTTTTTGGCAACATCCTTTGTTTGCTTTTCATGATACAGGCATAGCCTTTAATACAGCAATTAATACAGTGATTTACAGAAACATTTTATTTGTTTAATGGATAAATTATATTCCTGTAACTTTTCTTATACTGTAAAAGCAAAGATAGAGAACTCTTTTGGGCCTAATATCTTTAATCATTGGACATGCTGGCAAACTCTGAAAGAGTTATCAGGAATTCTACATAAATTACAGAACAATGCATTTGAGTTTGTTGATCACATTAATTCAATTTGTGGACTACTGGCAATTCCCTCAAACAAATTAGGTAATTAGAAATAGTCAGAATTTTCTTCTTTCTTTAGAATATTATGTACTGTGTATTTATATCCAGACTTTATAGGGAGGGGAAAGGCCTAATTTTCAGTGGATTAAAAATCATTAAAAGTCAACTTCAGTACTTTTGGAATTTGATTTTCATTTTATTTCATTTTAGGAAAGGATTAGAAATAAAAGGTTAAAGACAAACTATTATATATTTTTATCAGCTTTTGTCAAAAAATAAGACACTATGATGTGAATTACCAGAGGAGAGGCTATGCTAATGGACTGTTAGGCTAATAATCTTAGAACTGGTTTCCCTGCCTTGGCTCCTTCTGTGAACTTATATTAATTACTCAATTCCACAAATATTTATTGAGAACCTGCAAGTACTGTGCTAGCTGCTGGGGATCCAAATATAAAATGTGGTCCCTGATCTCAAGGAGTTTACAATCCAGTGGAGGAGACAGCCAATTTAAGTCAATAATTATGACGTATTATAATATCATCATAGATGTATGCATATAATACTATAAGAACACATTCAGGGACATCAAAATCAAGTGTAACAAATAAAGAAACCTTCCCAAAGGTGCTGGGTTTTGAAGGATTTGAAGAATATGCAAAGCAAGCCCTCACAGCGTATTGTCTTCCTAAAATACAAATATGATTATGCTAGTCCTCCTGCCTTTTTTTCCACATGGCTGCCCATTTCCTATTACAAGATCAAGGCCAAACTCCTTAGCATGTTCGAATTCCTTTCTAATACAACCCTAACCTGTCTTCTCCCACCACTCTCCCCACTTCTGCCTATGCTCTCACCCCAACTCTGTATGGTTGGATCTCAAGCATGTAGCCCAAGGAATACTCTTTACTCCTTCACATATATGCTTGCAAAGTGATGAAGAGGAAAAGTATATTTTTGTTATACCTAAACATGCATAGTATCTGCCAGGTTGTACCTTAAGCCTAATGGTCATGAATTGCAATATAGAAGATGATTCCATTTGTTGAGAGTAGAAGACAAGAGGCCTAACAAAACCGTAAGGCATTGGGAAAGAAAGAGAAGTTACTGAAACTGTGCCTTCGTAGTATATAGGGAAATTTTGTCAGTACTATCTAATACAGTTCAATTCAAACAATGCCAAAGTACAAAAAGGCAACCAAGAGAATCCTGCAATAACTGAATGCTCTCATAGATATCCTGAGATAATATAATGTAATATTCATAACAACTAATTATTAAATGTATATTAGGTACTATACACTAAACTAAGCAACTGACATACATCAACGCATATACTCCTCAAAATAGTCCATTATGATTATCACCATTTGGCCAAACAAGGCCTAAATCATTTTCCTATGTCCCCACAACTGGTAAGTGGCAGAGAAGTTTCAAAGCCTGGAATCCTAACTCCAAAGTCCATGAAATTAATCCCATAGTAGACTCATTGTATCATAATGATTGCTGGCCATGGCATGGTGCAGGTGTGCTGCCAAATATTCTAAAACGCAAAACTATGGTATGAATACAAATGTGAGAATCACTGTTTCCGGCCCTGGAACTATAAGCTGGTTCTTCATTCTGCAGTGCACTTTCATGTATCTACCTGAAATGCTCTTCCCTATTTACCTTCAAGGCCTAACTCAAATGCCAGCTCCTGTGAAGTCTTCTCAGGGGTTACCCAGAGCCTAGCAGAATGAATAGATCTCTTCTCTCTGCTCCCATGGCAAGTCACATATCCTCTCTCGTAGTATTTGTGGTTTCTGATCTGTGTTGTAGATAATTGTGTATGTTTCTCTCTTTCCTGCTAGATTATAGGCACCATAGTGTAGTAGATTTTGGAGACCACAAGATAGGTTTGGAAACCTAACTCTGCCACTTACTATGTGTGTCACCTTGAGCAATTGATTTAACTCCTGGGATGCTCAGCTTCCTCACATATAAAAGGTGAAATTATTTTTTTTAAATATCCACCTCATAGAGTTGATGTAAGTAAGGTATACGAAGCTCCTGGCCACAGTTTACCAACAACAAATGACCTCTATAAGGTCAGGGGTCATGTTTTATTTGCTTAACCTAGTGCCTTTTTGGTTATAAAACTCAACAAATCTTTGTTAATTGAATAAATGAATGCATAATTAAATGAATTAAAGAGCAAATGAATCCCCTATATATTGATATTTCAATTTTGTTTAGCCTTTTTCGCATAGACGCATCTGGCAAATTTTTCTAGGCTGATAATCTTTGCAAGAATACTCCCAAAATCTAATCTGTTAGCACATCATCTCTCTTCCTAGTTTTGCTTTATCTCATGGGTCATGGATATAATGGGAGGAAACATAACTTCCTGTGATTATTGAAACAGAATATGGTTTTGGATAGCACTTTTTTTCTAAGTCCATAAAACTGTCTCTGCATTGCTGCCACCACCGTTCTAGAATTTTAAGCTTGATATTAGAAAATAGATGAGGGGAGGGTATCTTCTAACCTAACAAAACATTTACGATGATCTATTTAAGAGCATCTTCTACATGTTTTGAACATATACATGTTAAATATACATGTTTTTAACATGTTGATAAGTAAATTCCATATATAATTTTCATCTTAAATTGGGAAAAACATCACCCATAAATTCTCTTTAAGATTTATTCTTCCACTTTCTCCTTAAAATTAGTGAAAATATAGAAGCTAATTTTCATCTCTCCTGAAAGTGCCTTTATAACCCTGTCTCCCCAACAGATACTGATTTTTCAGTTGTTACAGTTTTTTACACTTTAATATTATTCTCCATTTTGAAATATTTTCCAGGTATACATTATAACAAATGCTTTTGGTTAGTGGTCAAAATGCTATTAATCACAACTATTATTTCTGTGATGGATATCCATGGCAGGAAATCAAAAACAATTGAACCTGTCAAGATTAAATGGCTTACTATGTCCATAAAGGAAAACTCACAGCACTACACTGGACCATTATTCTTCCTCTGAGAGTTCTAAAGTAGTCTGGAAACATTATAATAAGTGGATAGTCAGCTAATTCTTTGAAATCATAAAACTAATTTGCTTTTTAGTTTTGCCACCTTTAAGAAAGCTCTTTAGCTGATTATCCCTTTATGAAAAGAATTATAAATAATTCATTTGCTGGGAGAAGGAAGAAGAGGTCAGAGCAGTATTTGAAGACATATATGTAGATGACAGATTTGGAAATGATCTGTAATCAAGGCTTTAACATGAATGAATATAAACCAAAGGTTTTTACAGGAAAATATGCAATCTGCAGAACAACAACCCAGGTATATTCCTTATTTGGGAATGGGGTTTTAATCTTTTCTATTATACATTCTATATAACCAGTAATGTCTAATAGTGAAAGTCTTTCTCAAAAGTTTGTTATATGACACTCCCTCGAACCAGAAGCAAGTCATGCTATGATGAGAACATTACAGTAGTCCTCCTTCCCATGATTTTACTTTCCTCAGTTTCAGTTACCTGCAGTCAACCATGATTCAAAAATATTAAACAAAAAATTCCTGTAATAAACAATTCATAAGTTTTAAATTGCTCGTCATTCTGAGTAGTGTGGTGAAATCTTGTACCAACCCGCTCAGGATATGAATCATCCCTTTGTCCAGTGGATCCACTCTGTAGACACTACATGCCTGCTAGTGACATAGTAGCCAAGAGAGATAAATCACATTCACATAACTTTTATTAGAGTATATTGTTATGTGCTCTATTTGTTATTAGTCTTACTGTACCTAATGTATAAATTAAACTTTATCATAGGTAGTATATATAAGGAAAAGCATAGTATATATAGGGTTTGATACTATCCGCAGGTGCAGGCAACCACTGAGGGTCTTGGAACTTCATCTATCACCATTGCCCCTTAAATGAAATTCATATTATAGCTGTTTTGAACCACTTGTGGT